TGTTAGCCCTCTCATTCTTCGGGCGGTGTGCCTTATTTTATTGGGGGAGTTACCTCATGTCTTTAAGTTGGTCCCCAGAAATCTTGGGCTTTGTTTTTTAAAAAATGTGACAATTAATATGAATGATTATACTAGATATACTACTTAAAAAATATAAATATATATGCAACATAGTAGATGTAATTTTCTTTTATAATTTATTTATATTGCTATTTTTTTCTTATGGGGCTTTTTTTTTTTAAAGCCAGGATTGAATTCAGGGACTTCTAACTACTGAGACAAACCCCCAGCCTTATTTATTTATTTATTTTGAGACAGGGTCTTGCTAAATTGCTTAGGGCCTCCTCAAATTGCTGGGCCTGGCTTTGAACCCGAAATCCTCCTGCCTCAGCTTCCTGAAACACTAGGATTACAGGTGTGTGCCACCACGCCTGGCCTCTGGGAGGATGCTTTTAAAAATGTTCCTGGGAGAGGAAGAGAGCAAGGAGATTATTTTCCAAACACTTCCTCATTCCTAACCATCCTATATGTGTGGTCTTGAGAAGGGGTGGGAGGCCAGCTCTCCTGGTGCAAGTTTTGAGAATCTAGGTTTTGAGTGAGGCGCTCTGGTGACTCAGACCAGGCATGTGTAGAAACTCTGGCCTTTCCTGGCCCCTGGGAGAGTGGTTTTGTGAGTGCAAAGCCCTTGTTCACAGGAATCCACCATGCTGGAACCCAGCTGGCAAAGCAGGGAATGAATGGCAGGGTTCTCCTCACCCACAGCCTCACCCTTGCCTCCTCATGATCAGACTGTTCTCACTGAGCTGCACCTGGGAAGTCACTTTCTGTGTCCAGGCACTGGACTGGACCCTGGGCTCATCATTTTACCTTGAAACACTGAGCTGCTGTGGGGTAGAAATGTTGGCTCCTGTACCAAGTGCTCATTCGGTGTTGGGAGGCATTGCCATGGACACGGGGTGTTTCTGACAGGAAGGAAGCAGACCTGGGGCACAGGCAGCCTCTCACAGAAGCCTTGCTCCCCTTGTATCCAGCATTGCTCTACCCTGGCTGCATGCCAGGGATGCCAAGAGTTTTGTTTCTTTGTGGTGCGGAGGGTCAGACCCAGAGCCTTGTGCATGCTAGGCAAACTGAGCTACAACCCCAGAAAAACTTTTAAAATGGAAACTGCTGGGCTTGGGCCTGGGAATCTGACTCAAGTCAGGGAGGGGTCCAGGAGCCAGCTGGAATGCTTTTGAGGGCATAGCCTCTTGTGCCCTGCTGGAAGTTCTGCTCTGGGTTCTGGAGACCCCAGGCTTCTATTTGCTTGTGCTTCAGGGCCATTCATGCTTCAGTGGGTTTGGCATGCTGGAGTCTCTGGTGGGTGGGCCTGGAGACCCCGAATGTTAGGCACTCTCTGCAATTTATACAGTGCTCCCCTCTCCCCTCTCCCAACTCGAGGGGTTGCGCTGCTGCCTGAAGGGCTCAAAACCAGGTTGTCAGCATGTTTCTTCTGAGTCGCTTCTGGCGGGCCTGTTGTTGAAGTGGAGACCTTCCCTGGGGCTGGAAGGTCTCTGAGGGAGCTTATTGGGAGAGTTGAGAGCAGGATTCAGGCCCTGCCCCATCTCTTCTGCCAAAAGCCTTCCTGAGCACTCATGGGGTGTTAGATGCAGCCCCGTGCCCTGTGTCGCTCACACCTGCTGGGGTCTGGATGGGACTCCAAGAACCTTAGTGCCCCCTGGGGAAGCCCTCTGCCAGGTGCTGGTAGAGCTTCTCTGTGCAGATGCTGCCCCTAAAAGGCTGAGTAACCCAGTGGGGCCCCAGGTTGCTGCCTGTGCTGAGCGTCTGTCTTGCAGGGACTGCTTCAAGGCCCTCTACGTGCACAAGTTCAGAGCCATGCTGGGGAAGAATCGGCTCATCTTTCCTGGTGAAAAGGTAGATCTGGGGCCCTGCTCTCAACACTTGGTGCCTCTTCTGCAGGCAGCCTCTCCCCACTGTAGCCCATCTGGGCTTTGAGGGTGGACTTGGTATCTGGGGCTACCCACAGGTGTGGGGGCACATGGTGTTGAAAGCACGTGTTGGCTAATATTTCTTCTCCCCAGGTGCTTTTGGCATGGTCTGGGGGTCCTTCGTCCAGCTCCATGGTCTGGCAGGTACTTGAGGTGGGTCTGTACTACCCTCTAGGCCAGGCTACTGGGCCCAGCTGGGGTGGGGAGCCTTCCTTCTCAGCCAGCACTGAAGGGCAGTTGGTTGGCACTAGGAAGCATCACAGCCCCCAGCTGGGATGTGTATTCAGCAGGTACACAAACCAGAGGACGTGTGTAGGCAGAGAGGCAGCACATGCAGGAGGGACAGAGGGAGTGGGTGGGACTTGAGTTGCCAACCTGGACTACAGGAGTACCTGAGGGCTCCCCTGGGCTCGGGGCCTCGGCAGAGGGGAGGGCATGCACACTTCCTCCACGCTTCCTGGGGGGCAAAGCTTCATGGGGCTGGTGAGGAGGCAGTAGCCACTGGGATGGGGTGGGGGGTGTCAGCCTGGCTAAGGGCACTGGCCCAGATAGGCCCCTGCCTGCAGGGTGATGAGATAAGCCCCCCCTGAGGCTGTTTTGTAGATCTGGCACTGCTCCTTCCATGCCCACTATGCCCCGACCTCCAGTGCCTTGTTGCCTCTGTTCTTACTGCAAGAGTGTTTTCTGAGTGGTCCAAGGTGCCCAGGCAGGTGGCACAGTGGCCCCTGTGGACCTAGCTGCTGGTCTCAGAGGTTCCTGGGACATCAAGGGGACTGGTGAAAGCAGGTTCTGAGGCTTCTACAGACAGATGTATTTTTCACTGGGGAAGAAAGACCTGTGGCCCTCTCCTCAGCAAGGGCAGAGCCTCACCCACAGGTCTGACTGCCTTTGTTTACTAAAAGGGGGCTCTTTCCTCCTTTTGGGTTGGCTTTAAAGCCAGAGAAATATTCTTTGCTGGAAAATACCCCATGGGTTCTGGCCAGGGTCTGAGTTCCCAATCCTGACTTCTTTCTCCAGGGCCTGAGTCAGGATTCTGCCAAAAGACTACGTTTTGTGCCAGGGGTTGTCTATGTTGACGGTACGTGGGGTCAGGCCCCAACTGGGACCTTTTCCTGAAGGAGACTATGCATTGGACGGCGCCCTTGTCCTGGGGTCTCAGACTGTGTTGGAAAGTTGGTGGGGTGTGGGGACAGGAGCACCTGCCTGGTCCCATCATGGGTCCAGTGGCTAAAAAGGGCGAGTTTGGTACTGTTGCCAAGGGGTGGGTGTGGAGGTCTGGGACATCTCTAGCCACTATATGGGAATCCACTGCCTGCTCTGAGGATGGCCCCAGAGGAAAGCGGTGGGCACCTGCCATCCCCCCAGAAGCTACTGCCCTTCAGAGTGCAGCCTGGCAGGAAGTTCTTCATGGAGTTAGCCCCTTAGCCTGCTCTGCTCAGGCTTTTCCTCTGCAACCCCTAACCCCTCTTGCCTGGGATCTGCAGAGGGAGCAGCCTGTGGTCAGAGCCCAGAGGACAGAGCAAAGACTCTGGCTGAGGTGAAGTCAGTCCTACAGAACATCGGCTTTCCGTGGCACACAGTTGCTTTGGAAGAGGTGAAAGGCCCGGGAGGCGACTGTTGGGGTGCCACAGGGCCACGTGCCTGCTTGCTGGGGCAGCCCTGGAACTTAGCTCCCCACTGGTGTTGGAGGGCATGTGCGTGCTTTGCCTCACCACACTCTCCTGTGTTCTGGAAGGTGTTTGGCCTGCCACCAGCAGTGCTGCAGGGCTCTGCCCAGGAGCCAGTGGGGACGGAGGAGGCCTACAAGTCTGCTGTGGACAGCTTCCTCCAGCAGCAGCATGTGCTGGGTGGGGAACAGACACACCAGCCCCAC